AATATACATCATCATCATCTTGCGGCCTCAGCCGAGATTGAACTCACCAATACTTTGATAGGTGTAGTTCATAATCTTGTCAAATAGCCGAATTCTTGATGCTTCGCTAGGGCTATCAAGGGTGTTTTTATTGTGACACCAACACTAAATGGATTGCCAACCAAGGCTCAGAGAGACTCCATTCACTCAAGAGGAGGTTTGAATTCAGAGTTTTCATTCTCCTAGACCAGTTGCCATCCAAGGCTATAGAACCAAGTCTGTCCAGCTATTTACCCATAGCTGGAGGGAGAAGAGAGAGGATTCACACCTTTCCCAAGGCACGTAAGTGAATGTAATGGATTCGACTGGAATTCAAACTTGGCTCTCCGATTCCTCAATCCAAGCCGCTATCCATTACTCCACCGTGCCTCCTCAAAATATACAAGCATGTACCACACATGTAGAACAAAAATAAAGTATTGCTGTTATATTTAGTTTGGAGTTATTCAGTCCTCACTTTCAACTGTTGGTAAAATTCAAAATCTTCTACACATTTGTGTCACGAAAGACTCATTCTCCAATCAGCGTCCTCTTTCCCATATAGGTCACGTTACAAGACTATTGCTACTCTGTTTATATTTCCATGGCAAATATTCAACTGAACCCCATTCTTTAATTCCGCAAGATCAGGCCTTTACGGCTAGAATAGGCTTCACCAACATTTGCTCCGTATTCCAGTAGTAAACATGACGTTCCACTCATTTTTCTCACAAGAACTGTTGATATATTTAGGACAGGAGCTGCCCAGTTCTCACTTTCCAGTCTCGATACAGTTCAAAAGCGTCTCCGAGTCTTTGTAGCTGACATTTTTCACCATCCAACCTCTCTATCACAAGCGGGATGTGGCAAGCCACCCACTGGTCTGTCGCTACTTCCATGGACGAACAGCATTCCTTGGTTCTGCCAGTTCTAACTTTCATGGCAAGGATCCGTCATACAGCTCACATTGTAGCAAACCAACCAAATTCCCCTCTGTATACTGTTGATGAAAAATAAGTTTCCCGTGAACACTGCTCTGTGGAACCGACTCCCGAAAGCATGTTTCACCGATCACTACAATCTTAACGTGTTCAAGTCTAGTTTTAACTGTTATGTAACCCTCTTCCGTGCTTTGTACACAGTGAACCATACTGTAAAAAAATGCTACTTTGTCGAACAAACTCCCACGTGGATGCTTTCCTGACACTAAAATATTCACCTCTTCAAGTCAAGAGTTAATCGTCATCCTTAACCTCATAATCATAACTTAATACCTCTTCCATTTATGTCACACATCTCATTCTGTAATTCTCTGCCTTGAGTGGCTCTCGAACATTGTATTGGTTGAACAATATTTAAAAAAATGAATATTTCAGTGTTTTTATTATTATTCTAAGACATGTCTCGAAAAGTTCAAATCAGCCACAACGCCTGTCAATTATTTTTTTCATACGAATATATTAGTTTTACCATTCTAAAACGGTCACGCGTTTACTTTCAAACAAACACCCAAAAATAATGTTACACGCGTAAAAGCATACATATGGATAAAATATACGCAGGCATCGACTCAAATAAACATCTGTGAAATTCCCCAAGTTCGCATTATGAATGAAAATTTGCAATCATCAGATGAATTTCAACGTAGTTTTTTATTTTTATTATTTTTTTTTCTTACAGCGGTCTGCAAGTGGAGTGGGACAGTCTGCGTCTAGTTTATTCCTATAGTGGCTAATTGTTCAAAGCTGATCGTTTGCGCTTACTATTTTTCTTTCTCTGAACATCGTTTTTTGTTATTCCCCATTATATGTTGGGTTTAACCTTTGAAAATAATCGGTCAATCCGATGGAAACTAGGTCACATGACTAGATACATGCGCAGTTTGAGCTTAATGGCGAGAGTGACACGCACATGTTACTATTATCAGTGAAGTGACATTGAATTTCTCTGCATATGTGTGTTTGAATTTATATTATATTTTGATGTAACTAGATGTATGCCTGAAAGTATAGACACATTAGTGATCTCGTACCAATTGAACTTATTAATAGGCAATTTAACTCAGTTTATACTTCAGATTTGCTTTCAGATATATGTGTGTGTGTATATATATTTATACCTTATGTATATATATATATATATATATATATATATATATATATATATATATATATATATGTATAGATTAAGAACAAATAGAAAACATTTATATGATTATCACTCTAACATGTTTCGCTTTTATTAAAGTTTCTCTGATGAAGCTTTAATAAATGTGAAATATATTAGATTGATAATCGTTTCCTATTTGTTTTTATCTTATCGTTCTGTCGAATTCCGATCAATATCATATACATAAGTGTGTGTGTGTGTGTGTGTGTGTGTGTGTGTTTATGTGTGTAATGTATGTTTGGGAAGCAACCTTTCTTTTCGTTGAATATGATAAACAAGAAAAAATCTATTTATTTTTATTTAATTTTTCCAGCATTTCCCGTTTGATGGGAGTAAGGGAGGGAAAAATTATCCGAATTTTCCATTGTCTGGAACGTTTTCGGACAATTTTTTTAGCCATTATCAAGAGGGTTTGTTTAGGTGTTATTAATTTCTTTTCACGTTTTGACTGTTTAAGTTGAACGTGACTGGAATTCGAGATGGCGTTTTTTAATTAAAAAAACAAAAATCTTTCAATACGCCATTTCCGCTACTGAATAAGTTGAGGTTTACGCTGGGTGACAGATGTTTTATGTAATGAGACTCTCTCATAGCAAGATGTTTTCGATAATGGGACATATATAGTATTTTAGTGTTATCGATTAGAATTTTCCTTAAGGGTTTTTGTAAATTGTGGCTTGCCGTGTGCCTTTTTATGGCATTTTGGTCAGATAAGTGACACTATTTATTCATGACAGTCTTGTACTGTGCAGTGAAATTGAAACACTATATTGGCCGTCGCAAGTTCAGATATTATAGAGTTATTTTGAGGCTTGCGGCTTTCAATATTCTGTAATATATAAGTTTTGCACTTTTTTTCGGCAGAAATATGGTGTTTAATGATTTGTCTTATTGAGAATTCTTCCTGCTTATAGTTATCGTGCCTCTGGTTGAAGTAAAATATGTTGATGTTTTGTTGTATGGTATTTTTATTACTAGTTTCGTCCTATCTTTTGTAAGAATAATTTTATTTGTTTATCGATGATGAAGCTAAGATTGTTAACTAATGTTTGTGTTTAAGTTCACTTAGAAATATTCTCCTGGAAAAAGAATTTAGGTTTTATTTGCTAAGAGAGTTTTTTATCACAGCTATTTTATATCTTTCCGTGAATTGGCTATCATAGTTTAGAACACAAGAGTTCGTACTGGTGTTTGTTTTTATCCGAGTAGGTGATACAAACTTTGGATTTTAGTTCTATGTCAAGGAATGGGATTTTATAATGAAACATGAGTTCGTACGCACATTTTATTGTGGAGATTTTCATCTGAAAGTTGATTGATGTTTTCGTCCTTATTTTTATTAAAATAATAATAAATATATGTAGATTCTTCCGTCGAGAATAACTAATGAAAGGGTCAGTGAATTTACTGAACAACATGTGCAAGTGAATTCTATAAAATGGTCAATTGCCTTTGCCCCGCAATGCCTACTCGCTCTATCATAACACAATTATCTCTACTAAATCGCTGTTTGCTATATGTTATAAGATTCTACAATCGCAGATTTAAGAACAGGAGTTCTCCTAGCTGTATGTTGGCTGTTCATTCTTATAGGAAGCTCTGTCTACCTTTAACCAACGTTCTCCAGGCTGGTTTGAATTCACAGTTTTAATTCTACTAGTCTGATTGTCAACTAACGCTATAGGACTCATTTGTCGTGGTACTTACCCATAGCGAGAAGAGATGGATTCATATCTTTCGCAAGGGTAGTTGAAAGTGAATATAACGAATTCAACTGGGATTCGAACTCGACTCTCCGATTTCTAATTATGCCAACCGTACATTCAAGGTTACAGCACCTGGTATTCGCGCGCAGTCACACATCCAGGTACTGACCAGGTATAACTTCGGTGATCGGACTAGTATCGATGTTTCAACGTGGCATAACTGTAAGCGCAAACACATACACACACAAACGCACACACAAACACACACACATACTGTCGTGGATTCGGGGATGAAATCCGGTATCAATAAATAACAAACGCCAAGAATGAATATAGGAAAATAAAGTATTAACGTAATAATACAAACTGGTAATGCAGGTTAGTAGTTCCAGGAATGCGGGATAGTAGCAAAATATCCATGAGTCTTTGGTATTGAAGTATCACTGTATGAATTCTTGCCGAGTCTACGTGCTCGCTCACTGTGGCTCTTGCTCGCTACGTTCGTTCGGTCTGTCTGTTACCTTCAACCTTTCACCGCCCTCTCCTGTTCTCTCTCGAGTCTTCACGTAGCAGTAGTATATGTATATACTGGGTGAGTCCATTTGTGTA